TAATTCGAGTATTTTTATAAACTTCTGTGATAGGAACTCTGAACGATTGAAAAGGTATGAAAACGGGTTTGCTGGATTTGTCTCTATCTATGCTACCAAGTGAAAGTCGTATCTATATGTGTGTACATAGGTAATAACAGGAACGATGACGAGCTGGGATAGGATTGCCTTAATTTGTGAGACTGCACGTCCCGTAGTGACTGGCGTGGCCCAACTCCGCCCGTGTCCCATTGACCCACTTTCACGGCCTTGAACCCCTACTCCCCTCTGCCTCCGGGCCGTTCCCGTGACGTCATAAAACCCTTCGCATCGGATAGTCTTTTACTATGTTTTTTGCTGCTTATAAATGTACCAATGTATGAAAAATTATTATTAGATTACGAGGAACTTGTTCGATGGTAATTTGAAAATAAAACTTAGTTACACTTACATTGTTGATAAGGTTTTATAGATAAGTATAACGTTTCCTATGAAGTAAAGAGACTACTTATTTATATAAGCACACTTGTTACCTTTGAGTCAATTTAAATATTGATACATCACCGGCTCATTGGTTCGTATCGTCGATGTCAAGCAAATTTTCCATTCGGTTGTCTCCGGTCTCCTCTAATTTTCCAAGCCACCGCCTTCTATCGACACTACATATAGAGTGCTAATATTTTCCATACAATTATCATAAGGTCACAATGTAACATAACCTCTTAACTTCAATGTTTAGCAATTTAACTATGATCTTATTTTTAACATGAAACTAAATAACTAAGTTGCTAACAATTTAAAATACACAATTTATATTTTGTCTTAGTAAGTTCCAATTTCCGAATTTATTATCTTTTAAAACTATTCCCAAGAGAAATTGGTAAATATCCGGTTGTACAACGAAGTTCCAGAGTTGTAATTTATTTTTATTTCGCTACTAAGCCGCCCAGCTTGCCTTAGTATAAATAATATTTATGAAAGCAATTTTGTTGTAACTCAAGCTAAAAGGTTTTTTATTAAATTATTACTGTCAGGCTATGTAAAGTGGCAATCAAAGTGCTTTATTTTGTTTAGAGATTACCCTGTTCGTATGTAAAATGCTATAAAAGATTAACACTTGCAATAAATGTCTATTAGTTTTTGGTGTTAATATAAAGATGTCATTGATTATTAGAAAAATATACCATTTTCATCAATTCATGAAATTATTAAATTGTATCTTTAATTTAATGTTAATTTCAATTCCATACTATTATTTTAATCCGTATCACATATCTATAGTATATTTTCGCAATAACCGTTTAAAATATGACTGCAGGAATAATAACAGAAAATGAAATTGGAATTTCATCGACGATGGTTCAGGCGATAGCTTTCCTATTAAGATAATGTTTGTACGTATCTTCTACGTCATACTTCGGTAGCGCTGCGTCACAATGGTTAAACGATAAAATTAGGATGCGAGTTGGCCGCTAGGAGGCCGAGTCAGTTTGGCGCCTCGCCAACACGGTCGCGCTCCCCACCTTATCAAAATAATAAATTCTAGATACAGATTTTTGTTATAGACTTTATTGATTGTCTACAGAATCTTCTGTAAACATCTGTTTAGGATTAAAATTTGCTTTACAAGAATCGAGACTTCGTGGCTGACTTAAGGAAACTCTTAATTAAGAAGCTTATTTTAGGGTCTGTTTGGGAGTCGGAGCCACGTACATGCGCTTTATTTTTGAACGGGGTGTACGGAAGTGGGGTATAATTGTTTCTGCAGCGTATCTAAAAGAATCAGGCTATCTCTTGCCTTCTTAAAATGCTGTCCTGACCTATTTATCACAGCCTTTGTGCATATCTAAATTAGCAAATTCATCTACGTGATCAAGAAAAATAACAATTTTCGAAACTTTTTCTCAAGGTTCTCAATCTATACAGTCACTTTATAGTTCCTCATTAACGTTTCTTATTATTTCCTAATTTAGATCTCGCTCTTATAAAACGTGCACAATAAGCTAAGCAGTTCTCATCAAATGAAGCGTTTCCCAAGAACACTGAAGGCCATTGCCCAGGTCACGGACAGGTCTGTCTGTTGCACCCGCCTTTGAACTTCACTCAAACTCATAAATGCATCATTATTTTCATTTTTCAATTGAAATGTTATTTTCTAAAAGATGCAGCGTTTTAAAGCTTCAAGATCTAAAGACTGCAGACGTAATGGTTTGTCTAATTGGTGCTTTCAGTTGGAATTTTATTTTAGGATAGTTACTTTTTTCTAGTCTTTTCATTGCGTCTTATATTAGACAAAGAGAATATTGAAATACACATGCAAAGTAGTAATAATGCCCTATTAAAATCATCCATTAAGGAAGTTAACAAGTTATGCCTTTGCGTTTTGATATATTTAAAAGACATACGTAACTTTTCAACATTTTTGGTAATAAGCTTTATTCAAACTCTGTATAATTTAGCGTAGATGTGAGCTTGTACTGTACAAATGCTCGTACAATGCGTTGTCTAACCGCAGTGCGGAGTGCGGACGATCGCTGGAGAATATCTCTAGCACGTCGTTATTGTGACCGATCAATCAACCGCAATATGACAGTATTAAATACTCCGTAAATATAAATTTAAAGGGTAAAATCTCTCTAGTCTTGTGTATAGTTAGCGAAGTTAATCCTTTGTTAAAAAATAATTGCAATAAAAACATTTTAATGGGTATTCTTTTTCATACTAAAGGGAAATCTCAAGGTTTTATTAACGACTCTATGTGTGACAGTAACATAGTTATTTTTATTTCCGTTTATAGTGATTTGTTTAAAGTAATTTTAAATACAGATGGCAACATATTTCACATGACATCTTCAAAGTAAATGGAGGGTATAAAAATAAAATTTATATTTTACCGTAAATTTGAATTAACCTGCAATAAAAAAGGGAAATGGGACCGATATATTCGATCGACTTTATCGCTCATTGATGGTCGGGACATAAACTGTAAGCATCATCCATTTTATATAAATAAAAAATATGCCGACAAGTTTAATCTTCGCAATTAACTTTAACTTAATAAATCAAGCACCTATACTGTTTTTCAATAAAGTAACATCTCACATCGATTATTGCATAAATAAATAAGGATCACCTCATTTATTTATGTAATACATAAATGTACATATGTTTCAGATGTATCTAGCGTAGCGTCACACACAAAGCATTATACTATATCCAGAAACATAAATAACTAGCCTACTCCCGCGACTCTATCTGCGTGAAATTAAAAAAAAAACTATACAAAAGAGGATAGCCTACGGGTAGTGCCTATATGATTAGTAAGATTAAAACCTGATTACGTCTAAAAGACGATCACATAACGATTGATTAAATAGATAAAGGCGTTTTAGTCTAAGACAGCAGAGTAATAAATGTGCTTCTTGTGTAGATGCGATGTCATGAACCAGCGTAATCCATTGTGACCGCAATCGGGCCACCAGTCGACGTCCTCGTAAATCGACCGGGTAGCAGGTGTTACGACTTCCTTCGCTAAATTGCTCGCCTGCCGCACTTGTATTTAGTGGAGAATTATTCAGACCACTTTTTATCACATTGCTGACTTAGGGTTAGGTTAGTGTTTTTAATATCTAAAGTTCTTTGTTTTAAAATTTATAGGTAAGGTATAATAACTTAAAAAAAAGATACAGTAAAACTATTTTTCATATGAATGAAATTGTATTTTGTTAAATTTGTGAAAAGAATCTCCATGTAAAAGATTCCGTCTATTGAAATTGCAATTTAAAAGTAGCGGAAAATGTGTCAAGGAAATTTTGTTGAAAGTTAATTGTAAACTTACTGGGTGTCATAGAAGCGCAGTTTCTCAAAAGAATTACTGAAAAAAGAACTCGCAGCGACCGAGGAGGGAGGCAGTTCTCGTTTCAACAAAACTTTTTCTTCATTTTGCTATTTTACACTTTGTGAGTATTCGCTTTTCCAATGCTTTTATTTTGTTCTTTTTTACTTTGCTTAAGTTTTTTATCAATGTATGAAATTAAATAATATAACTTATAATCATGTACTAATTGTTATCATGTATTTATCGAGGACATGACTATTTACTACTTTATACTGCTCGTTTGGGATTATCGTAGATTCAAAAAATTTAAAATTCTGCTTAGTTTTGAGGACACGTCCCCTGTTAAATTATGCATCGTAACATAGAATTTAACTAACTAATATGTTTTTACTCAAACGAAATAGGTCACATCGAAAATGAGTAAAGTATCGTAAAATATGAATCGAAGGGTATTGCCCGACCGAGTCATATATTACATCGAAATATTTTCTCTGGAAAAATAAAAGTACTTTATGTCTTGCTGCAAACACTACCAATACGCGTGGAAAAATATTATGTTTTTATCGATATTATATAAGTTCTAATGTAATTTTAAAATCGAACTATCAGACTAAATAAGCAACTTACAACCCAAGCGAGTTAGCCCCCTTATTATGTCATCTGCGCATTAAGTTAATTGCGACTAAGTTAAAGCTTAAGTTATTTTAATCAGTAACTCCCCGGTCTTCGAGAACAACTTCTGTCGTTCTAGACGTTCTTCAAAGACTTTTATATATACATTAGCCAGTTGGCTCTAATCAGTGATATAAAAATAAGTAGCTGATTCGCTACAACGTGCAATGTTTTACTTGATCCCGCTCGGACATAAAGTGAAATTATGTAGCGCTGAGACAGTAATGCCGTGATAGATACGAACTTTATTACATTTCGATTTATTTTTAAAGAAAAGAAGGATGTAGGTAAAGAATAACAAAATAAGCATTGTATCCTTTCTTATAACTGTTTCTGTGATGTAACTATTTGTACTTGTGTTACATTGAGAATTTATGATATTGCCTACTTTAGTATTGTATATTCTAAGGTCAAAGTCTTCTTTTCTCAAACAGGCCACACTCATTCACACAACAACTGCTTCCTACCGTTTATGCAGGATTCAAAATTTTATTAAAATTGTGTGATGTAGAGAGAGGTGCCGGGGGCATGAGGTCGGGGGAGGCGGGCGAGGGCTCGGAGCTGGCGGAGTTCGGCGCGCGCTGGCCGCCGCCCGGCGCGCACGGCTACGGCTGGCCGCGCCCCGCCACCCCGCAGCACCCGCCCGCGCACCACCTCGCACGGCACTCGCGCTCGCACCAGGTACCACATGGTCTACGCACACACATTTATGTGTACTCTAGACTACGAAGCCTTGTCATCTTTGGGCTACGGTTCTGGTCTACGAAGTTACGACGTCTACAAAGATTGTCTACGAACTGATCGCCTACGCTGGAACGTCTAACATTTAAAGCGGTCAAGTGTTTCTCTTTTCATTGCTAATTTTAACAATTGTCATACCTCTCTGCTATATACACTTTCGTCTCTCTTTAAAATTCAATGTCGGACTTGATTAGTAAGCGAAGCGACAGCTTAAGACCCCGTTTGGGGTATGTAACTTAAAATCTGTTGGCAATGGTTAGTGGTTGCAGGACAACCGGCAGGCGAGCTACGAGGCGGAGGACGCGCGGGTGCGGGGGCGCGGCGGCGTGTACTACTCGCCTCCGGGCACCTCCTATACCATCGTGGAGCGGCCGGCCTCCTCGCACGGCCACCACGCCCCCTACGCGCATCACCACTACCCTGGCAAGCTATCCCGCGCGCCCTACCTGGGCTCCTCCAACATCGCGAATAGTGCAGGCATGTCTTCTCAACTTTGAAATACAGTACACTTTGCCTTAAAAACTTTTAATTGCTTTATAAAAAAACCAGTAAATTTCCTGGAACAAGCCACCGTCACCTACCGGTTCTAATTGTTAATCTAATCTGCTGACCTCCTTAAACAAACACAGAGTAAATATAAATGAAGGCCCAAGGTAAAATCAAAGAGGCTAATAACATGTGTACCCAACGTGTGTGTCCGTTAGACGGTTTAGAAATGCTTTTTGTCTTGACTATAAATTACTTATCAAATGTCGATGAAAGTGTTTCTCATTATTTAAAGGGCGGTTGCGACATAAACTGTATTACCTTCGTCTACTAACTAAAGTTACAAGTCGTTAGGGTAAAGTTCCCTCGCCACCGCCTCCACGGCGACTATCATTATCAGCAGGTAAATATTTGCTATAACTTGCTGTTGGCAGCTTGGGTCGTACTTGTTTATTGTGCGATAGAACACTGTTAGCTCATTAACGTTAAGTTTATAAATAACGTGCAACTTCGGCTACAATACAGCAATGACTATGCGTTTGTATAATGCGACTCTTAAAGCTTAGATGCCGTGGTTATGAGTAAGATTTTTTCGGTATTATTAAAATAAAATAAATAAGAATTACGTTCCAATAGCACATCGACATAATTGTGTTTTGTTTTGGTACTCGAGGCCGTTTGGCACGTACTCTGACTTTTTATGTGCATCCATAAAAACTTTATCAGCGGGTACAAATAGAGAACAGGATCGCGTTGTATCACATGCACGTAACAATTGTACCGCACGAAGTCGAGAACAATTCCAACAGCGACAAAATGGTTCTTATCATAAAATATAATGCATAAAAATGGAACAAATAGGGTAATAAATGTACTTTGATATGAGTCACATTTGGTAAAAAGTAAGTAAAAAAAACTGTTACTCAAGCAATTCAAAATAGATTTTTTTTGCAAAAAATAATTTTAAACAAGTAAACACACATTATTGTTAATATTCTAAAGACAATGACCATGATGTGATAAAAGTGTTCTAAATAGCTTGTGTCTGTATAGGTGCAACTAGCTTAAGGAACAGCACAAACCATTTAAGCGCAACAAATGGCAAGAAGCGGCCGATATCTCCGGAGCAGGTGCTGCGGCTGTTCGGCCAGGGCGGCGCGGCGGCGCTGGGCAAGGCGCTGCCGCCCTCGCACCCACCCGCACCGCTGCCAGCGCCTCTTCCGGCGCCCTTGCCTGCGCCGCTGCCCGCCCGGCGCCACTCGCCCGCCAGCAGCCCCAGTAGCACAACACACCATGTAAGTTACCCTACTACACGGCCAACAGTCCCCATTATCTACTATGTACGACGTTTTTCTATTATTGAAAAAGAAAGTGAACAAGCAAGCCTCTAATTATACAGACAAAAACTTAAAAAATTCTGTGTTAGAAAAGTATGCAATTCCTATAGTAAACGTGCAAAATAAACAGGCAAAAAAGGTATGGGTGAAATGGATGTAGCCACGTCAATCTATTTCCTCGCAATGTTCAATATAAGTGATTTGAATTTTTAAAACTTCTCTATGGGAAAATGCAATATTCCCGAGGGACAGATCTCGAGCGCGCTAAGTATTCGAGTAGCATGTGTCCCGCCCCATCCCGCTCCATCCCGTCGTCTCCTGTCCCAACCTGCTCGCTCCGCAGCGTGTTGAGATGTAGCGGAGCTATTCATTGGTACGTTTTCAATCTAATAGAAATTGAAATTCTTTAGATTTTTATCACGAATCCAATCGTATCTATGCTGAATGGAGATAGAATAAAATTTTATTACCTTGGAATTGTTTTTCCTAAGTCTTTTCCTAAGTCTCTAAAAAGTCCTTCCAACAATTTTATAAACATCAATTTTCTTTGACGCAAAACATGAATGATTTACATGAAAGCGATTAAAAACATTGTAGTGTAACGTGGGAATTGTAGTGCAAGTCCGTCGGGGCTGTTGCTCTGTAAATAATTCCAGGGTGAGGCGACTTGAGTCGATATCACTACGTTATTCATGACCGCTGCGGTAAGCGTTTACTGACGGACGCCTGCCCAACCCAGCCTACGTGGACTAACATTTTGCTAATTTTTGCCTTAGACATTGACTTAATAAATTCTATTTTACCATCAAGGTATTAAAAGACGTTATCTATACTTACATTTTATTCTTTACATTTATAGATGTTACTTGAGTAATATTTTACTCCATGATTCATGACATATTCAGTGTCAGTCGTCGTTTGGTCACGGCACGGAAAACCGCGTATCGAATTATTTACCTAAAAAATATAAGTAAATAAATAACTTAATCAGTATTTATAATTATTAATTAGTATTTATCACAGCGAGTGCTTTTGACACATAACGTTGGTCTAAAAATAATATCGTAACGTGGAAATTTTAGTTTTCTTATCAAAACCTTACATTACCTTCGTGTATTTCCCACGGTGCCCACGAAAAAGGCAATTTTACGACCTCCGGTTTTTTCATTTGGGAACGTCGCCGTTGTGTGAAAATCAATAAATTTACTTTGCGCGTAAAGAAATACCCATATATAAGTTTTTATTAAAATAAACATGACAATTTAACAGCTACGTGCACCGGCATGTGTTTACGTGTTAAATTTTGTGGGAAATTGTGTTCAGTTTTTGTTGCAAATTGGATCCTGCTCAGAAATATGAGGTTTGTTTCTAAAAGTTTGATATACAAAATAATTTTCAATAAATAAAAAGAACTTCGTATAAGGAAATTAAGTACAGTCGAAACAACGTATTCATAACATGCATAATCTATGTCGTTTTAAGTATGTTTTTTTACAAAGTATGTAGGATTTGTCCTCGTTTCTCTTTGTTCTATGTACCGTATAACGATATGAGCAGACAAAAGAGTAGCTTCTGGATCAGAAAGACATTTCACTTCACGACTTTATCAAGTTGAGACATTTCTTTTTACTACCAGTAAGTTTTACTATTATATCATGTTCCTTTTACGAGCAAATACAATAGTTACCTAATTAAGTTATGTTAGCATACTAAAAAAAGTATAATTCCATACAAATAAAAATGGATCTGGAAGATTAAGTTGCAAAAAGAATGGGCAGTACAAAATATACATAGGTGTACACGCTTCATTTGCCTTCCTATGTTTGTATTTCAAAAACTTTATTTAATAAAAAAAAAACAATATTCTGACAATCTTCCAACCCTTGGCAATATACAAACACACACAGGATGTATAAGGTACTTCATTCTCGTCTATCAAACAAATGAAAGCTTTTGTTTGAAACAGAAAGTTTTTATACAAACAAATGGAGGTTTAACATGAAAAGAAAACTTTTTTACTTCCCTGGTAGCTCTTGGTATTGGGAGTGTTTTGTTTTTAATGACAATACCCGTAAAGATATATTATAATATTGTCTTGTTTTTTGTTCGTTAGAAAATGCATTTCGGACATCACCAATCTTTTTTGAGTAAAATATTTTTCATTCGAGAAGTCTACACTAAGGTACTATTTATGTAGCCACTTAACGACTCTGAGTATAGCAATGAATACTGTTTGTGTTACATATGTATTACAATAAATACCCTTATTTTTTTGTCTAGTTTCTACTGTGGCTAAATTTTAGTATACTTATTGTAATATTTGTGCAAAAAGTATTAAATAAATGAATATTGTTTAGGCGATATACCGTGGTGGGGAACGAGAGAGGCCGTACTCATCAGGCGGCGCGGCGCCGGCGCTGGCCGAGCCTGCAACGCGCACCGTCACCATGAGTCGTGATCCCGCAGACTCGCACGGCTTCGGCATTTGCGTCAAGGGCGGTAAGGAAGCAGGTCAGTTAGTTAGCATTTCTGTTGCAAGCTGCTCACTATGAAAGCATTACCGCTTCTTTTACGCCGGTCAAATCCTGACATTTCTTTGATGTCGGGAGAGTTTGTTTTATTAGCAACGTGTTTGCTTGCTGCCTGTTATTTGAATTATTTTTAATCAATAGCTAATGAATTCCAGCGTTTGTTTTGAAAATACATCTTGATTAAGTAAAAACTAGTTGGAAAGAATCAAGACCCCACTGTGGAAACTCATTATGATGGTGATGATGATGATAATACTAGAACTTTGCCTTGTGAATTTAAAATGATCGGTGCCATATTTTAATCTATGTTTTTCTAAACTTTTATTTAGTTTAAAACGGTAAAGTTTATACGAAACAAAATATTATTACTGGTTGTTTCGTGAGGCAGGCAAACAACACGGAGGGCAATCGATTTCGAGCTCAAATGGGAGTTATATAAATAGAACGAGGAGTCAAACAAAGACATCTAATCAATGAATTTTGCTCTTCAACAAACACGATTAATTCATTCTCTTCATTTATTTTCCATTTGATTTATTATGATGGATTTGATATTTTCATTGTGCTATTTATAAGATGAATTAAATTAGTATTAGTACTCACAATAAATATCTAAATTATGTAGGTATAGTTAAAATTTTTGTTTTGTACTATTTAGTCAGGGCAGTATGGAATACCTCCAATAATTTGAAACTCTTATGTGTTTGATTCCTCAATACTTTACTGTATTTCATGTAAAGTAACTCGTTTTGTTCAGGGGTGGGTGTGTACATTTCCCGCGTGGAGGAAGGTTCGGTGGCGGAGCGCGCGGGCCTGCGCCCCGGGGACTCCATCCTGCAGGTCAACGGCACACCCTTCTCAGGCATCTCTCACGAGGATGCCCTCAAGGTAACATCATGTTACATCACACCGCGTAACGTCGCGTCGGTCAGTGGTTATTTTTTTGTTAACTCTGACATTGTTTATTGTACTTTGTGAATCAAACTATATTTGTTCATAAATTATAAAAGCTGGAAGACTTTTCAATGCACGCTATTTCACATACGAGCTCCATTAAAATTGACAGACATACCGACAGCGTCTATTTCCTTTAGCCCGCGTATTTGCGGTAACAATGAATAAACGAGTTTTCAAAGCACGTTCGAGTTATATTTACGGTACATATTTTTGTTCCGGATCTGACTTTTTATATAGGAATGAAGAATATTATTTAATAGAGTAATACTTAGAAAGATTAATTATGATAATTTTAAAGTGTTGTCTGCATTGTTATGACAAGATTTTTATATAAACAAACATTGTAAAAGTTAAAGATTGGAATTGTTTTAAATAGCTTCAAAACCATACCATTTGTTTGCTTAAAATGTATCCTCTAAACGTTAAAATCCATTTCATTTTTCTTATTGTTACCAGAAAGGTTCTCTTGGTACTTAATTTAAATTTTCCATTCCGTTGCGTTGTTTCTTCAATCAAGATATTGAAGCTGAGCAATACAAAGGCTTTAAAAAAGTACTTTAAACTTTTAAACCACACAATTAAATAAGGCAACTAAGTATAATCTAAAATTATAAAACGTTTTTTTGGATACTTTTGTTGTTTTATGCAAATGTCTGTTATTTTTTCTCTGTGGTATTATCGCATAAAGCGGAGGCGTGTCGCTTAGGGAAGGGCCGTGACGAACACAATGAGATATGAATGTCACTGTAATACGCCCAAAACGTTTTATAATATGATAAACTTGACTGCTTGAGTTAGGAACTGTTTTAACCCGGTCGTTTTCCACAAAAGAAGTTGTTTAATAAATATAATCAAGAAAAATTATCTCTCTTATGATATTTTCCGCGTGGAATTAAAAAAAAACAAAAGTAAGTAGCCAATGTGGTTTTCCTGACTATCCCCTACATCTAAACCAAATTCCATCGAGATCCATTCAGCAGTTTAGGCTACAAACTCTAACAAACATCTATCCATCCATCTCAACTTTCGCATTTATAATATCTGTATTAGTATGAAGTATGATTAAAATGAAATATGGGATGCTTATATTGTCAACGAAGTTTACAGAATAATATTGGGAATGTGTGAGACGTCTAGAGACAGAGATGTCAATAGGTGTCAAGTCGACACCTAGTCCTGATGACACTCCACGCGAGTCATTCAGGTCAGGTCAAATTTAACATGATTGTGCGCTATTTCACTTTGTCCTATTGTGTTTTGTACTTCATTGATTTCAAAATCGGGTCAAAAGATTGCTAATTAATGTAGTAATTTGATTAGGCATTCTGTTTTGTAGAATCAATTTTCCACAGAATCAATTGTGTTACAGAAGAAGTTGTCATTTGGTATTGAATTGTAAAGTTTCTCTACTAGTCTTTTGCATCTACCACCACTAGCATTCATAAATAAATGGAATGTTACTCGATTCTGTTTACAACAAAAATGTACTTGTTGATTCGTATATAACTATATAACAGTAATTTTATACAGCTTATTTCAACAAAAGGATGTACCATATGAACTGAAAATTTTTTTCTTTCAATATACCAGTATATTTACCTTACCTTACCTTACTTTGTCCATCGTTCAGTTATACAACCCTTTGATAATGCGCTAGTGCCGACAATAGACGTATTCGTTCTATCATTCACTGCACTGAATGGAGTTTGAATATGGAACTGAACGAATGAAATGACAGCCGGGATATGGTTGGCATTCTGTTATCGCTATTCAAGTTGGTTAACAAGAATTGAAAAGTGATTGAAATTTAGTTTAACAGAACAAATAATAATCGATTATAACAAAAATTTAATTTTCATTATTGTACATACCTAAGCTAGTCCATAAATCTTTTTAACTAGGTGTAATGCTCAACAACTTATAAGAGGAATGGGTCGCGTGCGAAATCCAACTTCCATTTCGAAACACTTTTATTTCTACAATTCAAAGGAGCGACGTGAGAACGACATTTTCTATTTCCGTCCTCGCTGTGACCTTTGCACGGGCACAATCAAATTGTTCTGTAACAGGTAAACCAGAATTGCGAGCTTGAAATGCATTTCGCCTGACGTAAATATATTTAGTGGCTACCCGAGGTAGTCGGTCGCATTGTTGCGGATGTAATACAGTTAAAGCTTCGATAAAGGCTTCCGTTTCGTGTTTCAACTTGTTAGCGGAATTAATGGTAATAGAATTTCTAGAGGAATTAAGTTTTCGTTAAAATTATCGATACCATGGAGTACTTTTTATATTATCTGGAGTAAATAATAAAGAAATATCACGAGGTACTTTCGACTTTATCTGAAATTTCAGACGAAGTATATTTAAAACATTTTACAAACCAGTTAAGTAGGGAAAGTACGGCGAATAACTCAACTTTGATATGTTTGTAATAATACAATTTTCTGTAGTTAATTATTTCTAAATAGAACAGTGTTTGTTCAAGTTAATTAACTGTGCAAGATGTACATTTCAAATATGGATGTTACATGCAATGTTCATCAAAAGAATCAGTTATTTGCATTATATTTTTATATATTTTATTACGTAAATTGAACTGTAATGACGAGCTAACACGGGGATAGCAAACGATATTTATACAACATGCAATCACGTTTTCTCATAGAAACGTTAATTAATTTAATGCGGTCAAACATGAGCTTTGTTCAGTGAACAATCATGAAAGTATATTGCAAAAGATAAGCAAATCCCTTATTAAATTATAAAATCCGTTTATTACTACATATAGTTATCTTCAGATGCCTTCTTTCTCTTAAAAAACAGAGATCCCAAAAAATTTACTTCAACGAAACTCATGGTAAATTGTTGTGTAGATGCTGAAGTCGTGCCGTCAGCTGACGATGACGGTGCGCACCGCGGGCGCGCTAGTGGGCCGCGCCTCCTGTTCCTGGATGGACCGCTACGGCCGGCCCGCCTCGCCGCCGCCGCAGCGCCCTCTGCGTTCCGCCAGCAAGGATCGCTCTATACGCAGGGTACTAATATCAAACCATCACCTGTATAATTACAAACATAAATTGGAACCTGTAACATAAAGTGATAATGATTAAAATGTATTTTAATATTTTTCACAGTTATATGGTACATTCGTACTGTTAGATTGTTGCATTGTAAAGGCGTAATGGCCTATATGTAAATACACGTTATAACAGCTGTGAATAGGATTACCTAGTTTATGCGACCCACATCTCTATGAGCTTAGCATTGCATTGTGCCGCGCTGCACACCAAACTAAACAATGTTATCGTTTATTTCTATAAAATAATATTATATAAGCCATTTACAATTTATTGCAATAATTAGCAAGTCATCTTTAATATAATAATTGGTAATTACAAGACTCGTATTTCGTGAGTCATAAAATCTTGAATGCACAATTTGGCCGCCCTAAAATAGGGGAGTCAGAATAGCGTAACACGATGGTATGCAAATCGCTGTCCATTGGCCATTAAACGACAACCGTTAGCGGTTGTAATTGCTGCCCTCGTGTTGGTCATCAATCCGATGACGTCACCGGGATACTTCAACTTTGACTAAAGTTCATCTTTCAGATTACATGTCAAAATAGTGTTAGGCAATTTTTAAAAAAATAAATGAACGGAATTTTACAATTCACGATCGTAAGGTGAATTTGTTTTGTAAATCAGGTGGACCTATGCATAGAACCAGGGCAGTCGTTGGGGCTGATGATCAGGGGTGGCCTGGAGTACAACCTGGGCATCTACATAACGGGCGTCGACAAGGACTCCGTCGCTGACAGAGCTGGCCTCATGGTGAGTTTTGCCTTCGAAAGATTTTTAAAAATAATGAAATGTTCCGAAAATTGTAAGAACTTTCTTTCTTTCGCCTAAATTATTAATTGAATAGAGCTAGAAATGCAAGGAGGTACACCATGTTCAAACAATTGGAAACGTAATTCATAAGTAATGAAATTCCGAGTGCGCTAGTTACGGCGCGGCGGGTGAAATATAATTTCTAGAAATTAATGTCTGTTCCTGCAAGCCGCGGAAACTTGAGGGAGCGCCCCGAGTCATTTGCAAGTTGAAATTACCTCCAAGTTATTTCTTCCTAGTAATGAAAAACACTAGAAAGCTTTTCTGTAAGCTGACGCTCGTATTTTGATTAAAAATTCGTACAGCGGTAGTTTATCAAATGTAAGTTTCGTAGACATTAAATTTATACGGAGTGTTTTACAATTTAATTAAATTTCTGAAACTAAAATACGTAAAACTAATTTACTACGCGGAACAGATAATAAGTCATGTAAGTAATGAGAAAGCAGACGGAGTTTGAGTCGTTTTTCATTTCCCCGCTACGTGCAGGGTTTGTTTGTGTTGCGATGGACTATTTATCATTCGGACCGTCTCGCCTCTTACCTGAATTTTTTCGTGTTAATTTTCGTTTATCTGAGATGCTGTTATTTGTTAAAAATAATAATGAAAAAAGACAAATTGAACTGACCCTAAAACTTTAGGAATAAATTTGACCATTGTTGATTTTCAATCAACGTTAATATACACCATTTTAAAATTGTGAAAGTTACATCTTTTTGCATCGAGATAATGAAAGACTGTAACTACAACATTAATATTATACCTACCACATTTTCATATATTTAATCTTGTGATATTTAATGATCAGACTATGTGATGATGTGCCTAATGTGAGCTTACCCGTTATGTAGGTGGGGGATCAGATCCTAGAGGTGAACGGGCAGTCGTTCGTGGAGGTGACGCACGACGAGGCGGTGGCGCAGCTGAAGTACCACAAGCGCATGTCTCTGCTGGTGCGCGACGTGGGCAAGGTGCCGCACGCCTGCACCGCCTACGGGGAACGTGATGCTGCGCCCAGGTTATTATTACAAATTATTTAATATATTTCTAACCTAAGAATGTAATCACTCAGAGAATAATTAATCAATAAGTGAACAAATAAACGAGAACAGCTCATTTGTTGTTAAATTCTACTCCGCTGCCAAATAAAATTAAAAAATCACACGTTGAAAATGAGTTTGGAGCTTTCTAGAAAATCAAATTAGTTAGATCAATACTAAACCGTACTGGCCTTTAGGGATGTGTATGTGGAAACTTGTGCCTATCCTCATTTACGGGTGACTTAGTACGTCGACGTATGCTGTAACAAGAACAATATGTATCAGAATAAGTGGGTGGGGCAAGCGTCGCGGCGCGGCGGCGGTGGCGGTGGAGCAGAAGGCGCGCTCGCTGCTGCCGGCCAGCGACCTGCCCGCGCTCGCCTACTACATGGAGGAATACGCGGCGCGCCGCCTCACGCCCGACGCCTTCCTCACCGTGCTGCGCGACCTGCTCGACACGCCGCAGAAGGTAACAGTCTTTGCATTTAGAACATATGACAAAGTGCTCACCATCCTGCCACGACTCGCTGTCTAAGATCACAATGTGCATTGTGGTTTAGACAATACGAAGTTTTAAACAATGTAAATCCCGTTTAGGCTCCGGGTGCAGTTCTATAACATTGAATAACTTGAGTGAATTGCAACAAATCATGAAAATTTCTAAAAGGTTGTTTTTTTTATGTAATATATTATAAATCTATATGTAAAGAATCTCTTATCCTTTACATTAAAAGTAATCTGTAAGGTTTGTCTGAAAAAAGCCACGTTAACGGTCAATGTAAGCCGCGCCGCGTTGCTTACGACCTAATAAATCTCATTGACTCCTGAACGCGGTGAAGCATCTTACATTTCTTTTTATCACAATCATTAAGACGTTACAATGAAATAAATTACTCGAGCTTTCATTTCCCCTTTTTTAATAAAAATTAAATTAATATCGATTGTACTTACTTCGTGTAAGAAAATATCCCTTCTTGAGTTTCTGTGTTTTACAATTTTCCTGTACAAAAAAGTCAATTTAATTAAAATTGTTAATCTCATTTACCAGTACACTCTACTGACTGAGATCCGGGAGTTCCTGGTGCCGGAGGATAGGCCGCGGTTCGACGAGCTCGTATACAGACGCGGCGACGAGGCAACTGAACATCACATAAAGGTATCACACTAATTTACTATTCCACGGTACTTCTGCTTGATGCGCCGGGTATGAAACTATCGTTATTTTGATAAGAAAATATTGTGACTGTTCAAAAAGATTAAGAATTGGCAACGCAAAGAGTAAATCCAAGTGTAAAATAAATACTGCGTTGTTGTGAAGAAATGCTCACATAATAAACATTCATTTGTTTGATTTAAGTTACAAAAGGATAGTACACACACATAGTAGATTACATCGCTACTAAGAAAAACTCTCATAGTTCATTAGACAGATCCCGGCGCCTCGCAACTCGCAATCCGCTTCCAACCGAATGCACTAATTACAATTTTTCGCTCCGTTACGTACGCTCCTGTCTGGAGAAAGGAACTTGTTAGTGTATTTGCTCAACATTTCTGAATTAACTAACTAAAGTTGTTATGATGTTGGGAAGTAACTTTAATCGATCATGATCATAACAACTTTCGAAGTTAATATTCCAGCAGGCGTATTGTTTGAAGAAATATTCAATCATTCAATGCATAACTAATAGATATAAATCGTACATCGATTTGACCTTTGGGGATGTAATTTTTACTTACTTATATGTTCAAGTTTCCCAACTACCGTCACTAATGTCTTAACATTACTTTAATGCTTAAGATCACTTTTGGACGGTGACGATTTCATCACGTTTTAGAACTTCATTATCATAATTTTGTTACATTTATATTCGCAATCTCAATTGATTGGAACGTTCAAAGCTAGTGCAAAACATCTAACCAGGCACCTTTCCTAAGTTCTCTATACGAATGTTAGATCAAACTTAGTGTCAATTAAAATTGCGAAAATTTACATCACCATTTAAACTCATAATAAAATTCATTTTCGTAATGAATCACAAAGCAATAGTGTCGAAGTGCACTGAAGACCCACGTTTCCCTTAGCGCGGCGGCGAGCGTCACATGCTGTCCTCCTCCACAATGCACGAACTTCACGACCCGGTGAGTCAAATGCACGCCCGTACTAATGTCATGCATGTTAAACCTTACTCCTCGCTGTTCGTTATTGTGCGCTTGCAGTGTATTCTATGTGTTCAGTGTTGCCAATGCTTTATATTGTGAAGTTTTGTTGTCATATTTAAATAAAGAATTTTTGTGTATTGTTAATCAAAATCGGTATTATGGTCGAAATTTATTACTTTATAGTATCCGAAATCGATACCTAATTATTGTACCCAATCATATTTCATGTTTATTAGGGATATTCTAAAAGATTACGACTTTATTTGTATCTTGAGAACTTTATACTAAATAATTGTGAAATTAGAAACGTGTAAAAAGTTTTCAAGATTTAAAAGTGATGTGTCGCAACCAATACAAAGAGATAAATAAAAATACAGTTTGTATTCTAAGGTCGGGTGAGTAGAGAGGTATTGTTTGTAGGAGGGGCCGGCGGAGGCACCGCTGGTCGTGGACCACCGCTCCCCCTCTGAGGACTCCGGTCTGGGTCTCCCACCACACGACCACGCATACAGGTGACACACTATTTCAACTAACTACTGAAATTTCCATTAAAAATACATGTTTCTTCCATAAAAACAAACGGAAGAAGAACACTAATTATGTAATTAGGTAGTCTCATTTCGGGTAGGCGGAAACATTTTTCTCTTGGCGCTCTGATGAGCGCAGCGTAAATACTTCGCTTGATGACTCTTACGAAGCACTAAGTGTAAAAGTACCCTGTAAGTGTGAAACCAAAGGGTGAGATGTTCGCGCTTTAGACTTCGTACCCTATTTTACATTTTACAAGGAAAATAATCTTAGATTTTGGAAGTCCTTTCGTTCTCTTGAGAGAATTTTATTGGCTTATTGCCAACACTTCTAACTTTTATTCAGCGTCGGGCTCGATTGTTTTATTGCTGCGTAAACGTTTGAATCCACCATGATCGCCAGTTTACGACATGATCCAGCATCCGTAAGGGTTCTTTTAAATTAACTGCCAGTAAAAGCGATTCCCGATCGACGATTAAAAACAACCCAAGTTTCAGCATTATGTAACAGTAGTCACTTAAATAATGGTAATGATTTATAATCAGGTAGTAACTCTTTTCTTATTCAATTTCCATTCACTAAACACGTACACATATTATTACACTCTTGAATCAAATTAAAAATGTTCTCGTGTCTTAAAATAATTGAGAGCAAAGAGAAGAAAAAAAGTAAGGATTGTGATCGCTGCACTAAGATGAGATCTTTGTTTAGAACTGCACTGTATGTTATAATAGCGACATTTAGCTTAGCCAGTGATAGTTATCTGGTGTAAGTAGTGTAAACAGTAAAGACGGCAATATACACAAAGTTGAGACAGTGTCCGAGTGATGGTGAGAGTGTCGTGTTGTATGGGACAGGAGCGGGCGGCCGTGGCGGGCCGACGCGCCGCCGCACGAGGACGACCTCGACGCACCACACGAGGTGATTTTGCCAGACTTACTCACACTCGACCTCCTTACCCTTCTCCAACACTCTCTATTCTGTACGCCTCTTCTCTGTGCTATGGGTGTCACTCGAGGAATACTCGCACTTCTATTTTAGACCTCTCTTAGTCATTTAGTTTGTAGACTGTTAGATAGCTATTTATAGAATCATTTTTAGAATTGATGTTTCGAAGTTATTTAAGGAATACTTAAATTAGTCGTAAGTAGTCTCTAGTTCTTCCTCTCATCTAGTCAGCGAACAAACCTGAGCTGGCAAACAGAGTGGCACCTCGGCACTACCACTTGTTCTGTGTAATTCACGTTCCTGCATGAACTATGGCGGCTAGTGGATAGATCACAAGTCACACCGACATGCCGTTATTTCCTGTGTAAAATTGTTTTATAGTACAAGGGGTGAAGCTGGCAAAATTAAATCAATTAACGTCTCGTATAATGGACGTAGGAAGGAAGATTGGCTTATGAATCGGCGACAACGGCCAAGAAACGTTTTCCTAATAGCAGCAGTTTTATTTTTTTTTTTTTAATATAAGAAACGACTAAGCTAAAAATAAAGCTAGATACTCTTTATCAAAGATTTTTATATTCGCCATCGTGTGTTCATTTGAAGTTTATCGACTAAAAAATATTTATAAAATAGTTTGTACAATGATATAGTTGTGTGGGCGTTGATAAAAGCCGTTAAGAATAACATCGATGATGTGATTTAACGTCATGCATTAAGATGTCAATTTGGTACGATAATTTAACCAAAGCTTGCAACGGCTCGTTGGTCTAGGGGTATGATTCTCGCTTCGGGTGCGAGAGGTCCCGGGTTCAAATCCCGGACGAGCCCGATTTATTTTTTTACAATTACATTTTGAGTTAAATCTTTTCTGTGCTTTAGCATGTATTGTTTATTACATTTATTAATATAATTACATAATTACAAAATTTTATAATAATTATTAAAGTTTATTGGTTATAAAAATCCCTAAGGGTTATAATGCAACAATGTAATCTGTATTTCAACTATTTTTTAACTAAACCAACTTGAGTGTAAAATTAAAGCGAAAATAAATTATACAGTATTTTCTTTTACGAAAATATCAAGTTAAGGATGTGACACATTACGGAACTGTCATCTGTACACCCTTTTATTAATAGTTGGGAACGTAGCAGTTTAGATCGAAAAATCGTTTCTACGAAAGAACACATAAAGTGATAAATGGTGCAAATTCTTATTGCAACAATTTGTGCTAGATGAGTCTTTCAAATTATTACTTTTCAGCTTCAACTCTACTATTCGTAGCTATTCTACGCGACATAACATAAATTATTTCTACGTAGATAATTTGAATTCACTTAAAGATATTGTAATACGTATTTATTTACTTTATCGTAATGTCCAGAATAGTATAAAAAATAAATGTTACTTCAAAAATTATAACTCTATTAAGTTATTTAAAGATTTGATAGTCGTTACGTCATTTTGGAGTACGAGAAATTACTTTAGGTTTGAGACGTCCCCGATTTCTTATTCATAAGGCCTTTTATAACGCGGCGTTTGTCGTCTCTTTTCATTGAGGTTTATGCGAGGACATAGCCTTGAATACTTCTGAATGAATGTTAATACTGTTCTTACGTTTTATGTTATTTATAAGGAACAGTCAAAGGATACAATGTTGTACGGTTATTGTATTGGATTGTATTAAATACCAAACGATGCGAGATTATTTACCACTAGCAGTTGTTTCTCGTAAAATTAAAAAAAATCATATGTTACTCATTGATAACGTAGCTTTTTAGTTGTGAAATAATTTTTGAAATCGTCTCAGTAGTTTTTGAGAAATTATAATACATACAAAATTATAAAAAAACAAATCTTTCTTCTTTATAACATTGGTATAGTTAGATTTAATTGAATAAATTTTATGAGCATATAGCTTCTTACAAACAGCGGTTAGACACATTCTAGAAAGTTCCCGTTTCTACATGTCACAGTTTCCTTATTACGTTGTGTAAGTTAGTTGAACTCCGCAGGGTGTACAAGCCTCCTCTACTTAAGAGGTCCTTGACAACAACCACTGTACTTCCCTTTGGGTGCAATGAAAAAATGAATATAAAATTTTTCACACCGAATTACAGAAAAGTAAAGCATTTTTTTATGTTATGAGAAGCGCAATAGGTATATAGTAATAATAATGAAAAACTTAAACGGAGTTATTATACAATTACTGATGCATCACAAGATAACATTGTTTGTTTTTTTAATTAATTAGAAACACTCAGTAATTCCGTATACCTATTATTTAATTAGTGATTTATGAAAAGTGAAACTATGAACGTTATTTTCAGCAATCGAAGTGTATTAAATATTTTTATTATATTAATTATCGGGTTTCTTAGGTAATTGAAACAATATTTTAATTGTCCAACAGAGTCGGACTTGTAGCCATTTTGATAAATCCCAAAGATTAGTGGTCCCTTATTTAAAGGGTAAAGGAACTTTCGAGAATGTCCCTTCTTAGCTACAATTTAATTTAGCCCTAAGTACAAAGGACGTGTCCCAAGGGGTTTCAATTTAATTATAATATTACTAAAGAGCATATTACATTAGTTGTAGCTAACTAAATCAATATAGTTATACAAGTCTTAGTTTGATATTAGAGTCGTTTATGTTTATAGCAATTTCACATAATGTTGATACAGTTAGTGGTTTTTTAACCTAAATATTAACTATGGGTCGATTTATAGATTACATTTACATAGTATTTACGTAAAAGCTTGTCTAGTTAAAATTGTACTCCAATGTACCTTTTTGCAGTAACTAAATTACACTAATTATATTCTACAATCTTTGATATATTTATGTACCTAGTAAACTATATATTATAAGGAATATACATTATACGAATTTATATTAAATATTATGAATATATATTAGGTTAAACTCAAAAGTTTCTGATATGAGATGAAACAACGTTATGTATTCTCATAGTACTTCCTGAAATTGTTGGGCGGAACTTAGGCGGGCGTGTACTTGATGGAACTTTGAGTACTCGGTGAAGTTATGTTTCAGTGCCAATGCTTTGCTTAGCTATAGCTTAGTGCGCGGCGAGTCGCGGCGCGTGTAGCACGTATGTTCGGTATGTCGCGTCGTCGTCGTCGTGTCGCTTTTCGCGACTACATGCCAATGGACCTTCGTGCCATGGCTAAGGTATCGTAAATTAATGTTACGATTTTTTTTAATGTAAGCTAAATCTTAAAGGTTCTTAGATTAATTTACACAAGTTTTTAAAGTTTGTGGGTTTGTTTGTTATTATTTTAATATCGAGGCTTCATTGTTATATTTTATTTATCACTTTTACTCAATGTTTAGGTAGATCAAAGATCATCTATAGACTGTGGTTTTTACGATACTGCGTCCAACATACATAGTTTTGACATTAACGTAAATTGTAATAATTCACCTATAAAGTTAATAAAATTTACGTAAATAACATAAAACTATCGATATGTAAGTAAACATATTTATTATAAAAAACAATTCCGCACATAGAAAATTTAAACGAATTGTTTAATGTTGTTTCAACGCTACATAGGTTATTAGCCCCTGACGTATATAATAGCAATTAATTAGTTGCGATGTATTTGTAATAGCTCGCAGGTGCTTTGTCGAATAAGTCGTTTCACTTCAATTATAATTTGACAAATGTATCTAAAATACTATTTGTTATTTTAAATATACTAACCTTGTAAAGGAGAAATTATTCTATTTAAATCACTGTCTTAATAAAATCATTGTAACCATTACGAGCACATATTTTTGTAAACATCTTTGAAATTAAAATACACTTTTCTCGTTTTTAATGTATTTGTTTAAATAATGCGTCTTTGTTAGTGTTTACATTTTCAAAATGTCTTATATAACTGCAATATCTGACATCTTGCACGGAAAACGACTTGGGAAAAAAACACGCATTTGATGAAACTTCTGAAATGTTCTCAAAGAATCTTGACACGATTTCTGGGTTGTAGCTTGTTAATTTTGTTTCAAATACTAACACAGTTCTTAGCAGCTTGCCATCGACATAAGTGTGACTTCAAAGTCCATCTACATGATTCAATATCGAAAAAATTGTATTGAAATTTTTCTATTGTGTAGTTTCAAAAAAAACAGAACGAGTTAACTTTTAAATTACATCCGGGATTTTTGTACCTTTTCCTAAACTTACAAACGTATGAATTTATTGCTATTGTTGGTACTTTTCTAATTAAATTAAAAGCTTCGTACAAATTAAGTATTGTAGCCACGCGAATTTAATATGGGTGTGTAGAGGCGGAAATAGGCTATGTACACATTAGTACAAATACGAGTATATTTAACTTATAAAAAAATAGATGCCCTTGTAACAATAATTTAATAGTTCCTACATACTATACTTTACAAGAAAATTTCATATGGATATTGCGAAAGATAAAAGCAGAATTTGTATTCATATATATAATTCAAAAGAATTTAAAAGAAGCATAATAACTTGTCACCTGAAAACCTCGAAATACAAGGTTCAGATTGGCTGTAGTAATTATAAGCACTTTTAATTTTCAATCCAAATCGCGTGACTTAAAATTAATGAATATTAAAAATAAAAGAAGTAATAGTTTTTAACCAGTTCACCATTTGCACGAACTAGAATTTCTAGAAATTATAACACGCAAGAATAATCTTTCAGCAGGTGCTTGCCGGGCCTAACTTTTTTTTAATACACGCAAATATGCTAAGATCTGATAAACCTTCTTTAAAGTAAGCTTAACTTTTACTATAATTGGCTGTTTAAAATAGTATATTTACATTATTAAAAATTAACCTTGCTCAATAGTTGATAACTTAATGGTAACATTGATTAGAATCTCATCATATTTAAAAACAAAAAAATGTTTCCAGAAAACAAAACAATACTTTATTGACATTCAGACTAGACTACAAAACAAGATTTAGGCACATTGATAAAACTTTTTTTATATTGTTTTTCACATTTTTTTAATCCAAATTTTGTCGCAGAATGTTGTTTTATTTCTGTTAATTAAAATATACGTAACAAATGTTTAATTTTTACGCATTAGCATATTTTACCTATAACCTAAAATGTGCTAAATACGAAAATAGTTTTATAAATCAATGGAAGCTTCGAGACGGATCAGTCGCCTCCCAGTCTCTCGATGATCTGTTTGTGTTGTAGCCTTACATCTATCGTAGTATAACGATAATATTAGGGACTTTTCCGGTCTACTAGGCCACAGTTACTCGTCAGGAATACGTAATACAAGGTGTTTAAGTACGTGACGCGTCGATTCTATCCCTGTTTTGCTTTGACTTTTAATTTTCCTGCCTATTGACGCCTGCATGATTTGGTGTTGTGTGCTGCATAACGCTGTTTATTGTGCTTTGTATTTTAGATACGTAAGTAAACTTATGTTTAAGTTAACTAATAACTTACATTGAAGTATAATTTTAAGAATATTTATTGTTTTTCTATTTAAATCTTTTCACATTTATAGATGCGTCAATTAGTAAATCAATTTACTATTGTTATAGGATGACTTACTAAAGACTTGAGATATTAAATTTAATTTCTTTGAAATGAACTAAAAGAAAAAATAATTCGTTTTAGAAAGTTAATCTATTTTGAATGATGCGTCTATAAATAATTTACTTATTCATAATTTCCTTGATAGTTAATGTGAATGTATTTCCGGAATTTTGTTATTTAACAAAATTCTTGACGGTTATTTTTATTTCTGGTGTAGGAGTACGAAGAGGAGGGACGTCGGTCACGACGGCATTCATCACCGTGTAACTCCAGAGAGGGCAGCACTACCGCCCTGCACACACAACACTACGATGATACTGTGAGTACACTATTTAAAAAAGTAACAATAAATTGCGTAGAACAAGTCATTTTTAATTAAAATACACAAGAATACATGGTAAGTTAAGAAACAGCGGGATTTGGTTTGCCGATTGGGTGCAACAAAACATAAAAACTTGATACAGCCTACTTAAATCAACTGCGTTAATCAATAGTCAGTAATTACAGGAGAAAGACAACTGTAAATCTAGGGAACTAGTATCATAGGAGTCCTAATATCCGTTGTTTAGCTCAGCATGCAAACTTCGATATTACTAATTCCAAACGGATTCAAATGCTGTTTGTTTATTACAATTCCAAAAGACAAAATTGTAATCATCTATTATGATAAGTTGTATTAATTAATTAAAACCTTACGAGAAACCAACTAAAGAGATAAATATTTGGAAGATGTTTCCACGAATTTGGCCATTAATTCTAAGATTCACTTAAGTTAATGAATAAACCAATTGCAACTGTCACCGCACGGAGCATGACAAATGTAAGACACTTTACTTTACCAAAATACTTGTATAAATACATATTTCCCGTCTTTTCTTGCTCCTCTAAAAAATGAGATGGCAATATGTTTTGTAGGTTTGTTTCGGCAATGGAAACAATTGGTTAAATGTATTCGTTCGTGACGCGAGAACCGTTTGTAATACGTAGAAATGAGGTATAAGAGTGGCTAAGATAGAGCATGTTCCAAAGATGCAGGAACTTTTCTCATATCGTATAGTTTGGCGAGAGGCCAACGTTTTGACACAATACTCCGTCCGTTTTGTCGTCGCAGCTTCACGAATGTATAAATCAGATAACGTCAGTTGAATTTTATTTAGTTCTTATAGATTTACTCCATTTATTCAACTAAAACTAGTTTCAATATCGATTTAAAATACAACTAATAAAATAAAATTTAAGAAATGATGCGATAGCGTACCTAAGTTAGAACGTAATGATAAAAAAAAACATGAATTACTTAATGATTTATTTGAAACATTACAGAGAGATTCAAATTAATTTCTTATATACTAAATAATTGTCAGTCACAGAAATTATTCTAAGTATATAGTAGTAATATATTAATACTGTACATGAAGTTACTATGAACTATAGCAATTTTAAGTCAGAATTTAACATTACCTGTCAGATAACTTTTGTAAAAATCAAAAAGCTTTACTGTTACATAATATTAAACATTATAAATAAAACGACTTTATTTAGTATTTAAGTGGTCTGCACTAACATAGTAATAAAACGGCCTTAATCGTTTCATGTTACAACATAGTCTGTTACTTGTATTACGTTGTGCATGATTACTTGGAAAAACCTTGTCAGCACTTGACCGGTTAAGTAATACATAAGGTAAAATAATGTTTAAAGTAAACATTGTTTAAAGTAAACATTATTTTAACTTTATAGAATGAAAATTGATTTTAAGAGAAGCAATGACAGTTTTAGTTGGAAAATAGTTCTGAAACCTGTTTCTGAAACAAGAAGGTAAGTACTGACCAAGTATGTTATTCAAGAGTAATATGAAAAATTAAGATACTTTCTTACAAACTAGACTATAAAGTATGTTTACGTTGCGCGAACTAAATACCAGATGGGGCACTTTTGCGAGGACTATTGCTATCAGAGGAATACCGAGGAAGATGCCACAGGTTGACAATGGTAGTGATGATGATGATGATGATGATGATGATGGTGATGGTGATGATGATGATGATGATGATGACGACGACGATTGATTGATTGCTAAATAATGGATTGATAGCTTAACTATTTAGGCCCAATTGTAAATGTATTTACTATCTATATTAAAGGCTTTTTGTAAAACTTTCGTTCTATATGGTATCCCTCTCATTAAGTCTATCGTTCTAATCTCTATCAAGTCATAGTTTTTCCTGGAGAGCTCTCCGTAGTTCCTCGGTAGCTTTTGTAATGTCCTTGTTGGCATGCCGCGGCTTGCCGCTGAGGTCGGTGCAGTCGTCTAAATAGTCTTTTGGAGGTTCCGCGGGATATTTACTGGCGAATTTCGGTCGCGGAATCTTCACGCGTTTGACATCGTCCAACCAGCTTTCCATTGTTATAGCGGCGCTTCTTGCAAACGTATGCGTACCTGTAAATAATAAACATTGATTTTATCAATGTATGCTCATATTAATTTGAACTTTAAATGTGAAACGTTTGAATATCAAATTGAATAAAACTTTCGGAATGGTTTAATTTAAAATTTCAATAAAAGATAGTTCTGTTTAGGCGTAATGCCAAAACTAAATCTTATCTCTTGTCAACTTTTACCCAATTATACGGTCACTACCAAACAATTCTATTTTAATACAAAACAATAACGTCATTTATTCAAGCCATAACTGACAAAGGATTGAGCAATTCAACGAACAATGTAAGGTTAAGAAAATGTTCACAAAGTTGTTAGAAAATTTGAAACGCGCATTCGACTGTCGTCCATACAATGCCTATGAGTGCCAATGACAAACCACAACCGCAGAAAAACACGTTCGATTGTCTCGCAACACGACAACTGTGTCAGCAATTCTCTATCTATGACACTAATTAATTATCTTTGACGCTAACGCAACCGTAGCCTGATCGATTGCATAGCGGGATAGGGGCGATCATAAAATGTCCGTGATCTTTCCTTTTATATTAAAAAGTTTATTAAGTTTATCGTTATTTAAACACCAATCGTTATTTTATTTTCAAGATCTATAGAAATCCCCTAATAAACTGAGCCTTTAATTATCTTATTTTTAGATTTAAAATATCAGCGTAATAAAATATAAACCGGACCTCATTATACAATCCTTATAAAGCCATAATAAAACGCTAAAATAGCATCACAGACTTTCACCGAGGAAAGTGTAACTAAACGCTATACCATTAGTTCCATAAACACTTTCGAATTTTGCCAATCGGATTACTTTTAGCAAAAGATTCTTACCTCCTTCCGTTGTCTAATATATCAAAGAGTAGCAGTTCCCGTGCGGATTCATCCGCGTGAAATTATAAAAACTTTATTTTATTGTGTACATTTGTGAAATGTCAAAATTCTAATGCATAAATGACAACCTTGGTTCCTTGATGTTGGCAGCTCGTAGCTTATGGTCTCTTTCCCACGTTAGGGTTTTTATCCAATTTATTTGCCCCCTAAGTTTAATAGCTTGAAAATAGCCTAAAGCGTGATTTAAGTGTAGGGTTTTTAATTAAAAAAAGGATTATTAAAAAATATGCAGTAATTGCTGACATCTTACGCCACAAAGAAGTGTGTGCGCTTTTTTATATTAGTATAGATAGTGTAGATTTTATTCACATTAGAGCACGGCCATTCCCATACATATCTGCAGTACCATTTTGTCAAGTCAAACCTTTAGTCATCATTTACTGTGAATCATACTTGATCTTGCTTGAATTAATAAATATTAAAACTTATGGCTACTTTTATACAACGTAGATTTTTAGATGTAGATAATTCAGTCCCTTTCGATGGAGTATTAAGAAAAATCGCTTTCGAATTCATTGCATTTAAATGTTTTTATCCGCTTGATATGCATAGAATCCAAATCCGTATGTAATGTAGGCGTATACATTTAAAAAGATTTTTAGGGATCAAAAAAGAAATTTGTATAAATATGAATAACCAAAGCGACGGAATACCTAAATTTGTACCCTCGTTGTATTACAAAAACTGGCAAAAAAATATTTGGACTCCGTACAAAATAGCATAGACCAATAAAGTGAACATGAAAATATATTTAAAACATTAAACTGTAGACTACATAAAAGAGAATGGTATAAAGTTATCGTATCCTTACTTGGCCGTCAAATAAAAAATGTAACAAATCAAATAAAACAACCTTCACAATCCATTAAAAATACATATAACATAGACAATAAAGTAGAAAAAAAATGGTAATAATCACTAATTAAGTCAATACAATTTTTTCTACGACCAATCTGCCGTTCACTTTCGCAATATTTGTCACTCTTTCTCAATTCATTATTTCAAAATGCCAAATCACTGTTTATTAGACATCGAGTTATACATAGACATAGTATACGAAAGAATTGCAAATCAAGAAGCGAAAACACGATCTATAAATGTCAACAAATTGAATTTGTTTATCCAATACTCGTTTATTTTGCTGTTACGTATTTAGATTGCAGTTTCTGATATTGCTCTCACAAGTCATAACAAACTGATTGCAAATGATAGAGATTGTTTAATTGTCTACTTTCATCTGTGCATAAACATTACATTTTGGCTCTTTAGCTAAATTTAGATGGTAATGTTCCTCATGGGTTCTTAAGTTTGTTTTTACACATTAGAGTTTTAAGCATGTCTATTTCATTGTGATTTCGACGAATATGGTATTATTTATATTAATCATGTGTTTTTTAATTAAAAAGATGCTATCTGCAAATAACATAATCGCATTAATATTTTATAGTTAAGCAACTCGAAGTCCGGACAAATAGAAAGTGCTGAACAAGGGCCATTGTCTCCGCACAAAGACAGAGCCGTTCTATTCGATGTAAATATACTTGTTTTATTTATGTTATGAATGTTAGAACAGGAACTGTTCATTGCATCACACGAATGTGGCTGTTTATTATCTTGTGAGACGGAAAATGTTTATGATATGATATTTAATGTTATATAAATTGTCAGCACAATTAATGCTACTCAAATACGAATCCGTTTAGAATGGTAAGTCGTATTAACTCTGTAAATATAACGGAACAATACGACGCTATTCTTGTAGACTAATTGATTCTAACTTGTTGAAAATATTATAACTTAAAACCTCGAATGTAAGCTACCGGAAGATAAAAAGGACAAAATTACATGAGTCACCGACGACGCACAAAACACAAACGAAGGCAGCGCCAAAGTTGCACAAATAAACTTGCCTTACTTATCTTGCCCATGCCATAAAGAGAAAGTGTGGGCTTTGTTGATTTTGTAACGCAATTTTT